AGTTTCACCTTTTAAGTTGCATTACTGAAATAAATGAACTTTTGCACGATATTCTAAATTTTCGAGTTTCACCTGTATATTGAGAACTCTAGAGGCAGGAGTTTTGTTGTCAGACTATTATTGGGGTGGTACTTGTTGGTGTTATAAGTGGGACCAAAGAATAGAGCAGGCTCAAGCAAAAGTCTGCAATCAAGTTGCTATCCATGAACATAATAATGCCTTTTGAGTTCAGTGAACCAATCAATAGTTTCCTTTGATCATCACACATAATCTCTTTGTGTGAAAGTAATAGGAAGATTAGACTTCTCAAATTAAAACAAAATCGCTTTCAGTTGTTACCTAAAATGACTAAAAAAAGCTTACACCCATTCAATCAGACTATCTGACTGTGAGCCATTTTAGTATCTATTACTCATCGCTTCCTAATTACAGTATCAGTCGGTGATTCACATGTGTACAAAGACATCATCGGGATTCAGTGAAATTGCCACCATTCATAATATTGTATTGGCCATTTCCAATGGGAACCTCAAAACCTAAACACCATCCTGCATATAAGCTGCTCAGATTAATGGCAGCAACACATAGAATATTAATCACCAAATGCTGATTATATTTGCTACTCCTATGTTCTGTCTGGTAAGTAGGCAGGAAGAAGAGAGAGAAAATCTTTTGTCAGGTTCAAGATGCAGGCAAATGTCTTTTTGGACTTAAAAGCAGGATCTGAGTCAGGAGCAGAGATACATTATCACAAAACAGAAAAGGAGAGTTAATGGTTATGCAATGTTTAGTGTTGGATGAGTTAATCAAACATGTTAAAGTTCAAATAAAGCTGATTGTATATGATAATGAAGCTGAATACAGGTAGTTCTCAGCTTATGACCACAATTGAGCCCAGAGTCTATGTTGCTAAGTGAGTAATTTGTTAAGTGAGTTTTGTCCCATTTTATGAATTTTATTGCCACAGTTGTTAAGTGAATCATTGCAGTTGTTAAGTTAGTAAAACACTTGTTAAGTTAATCTGGCTTCCCCATTGACATTGTTTGTCAGAAGGTTGCAAAAGGTGATCACATGACCCCAGGACTCTGCAACCATCATAAATATGAACCAATTGTCAAACATCTGAATGTAAACCATGTGACCATGGGGATGCTGCAATGGTATAAGTGTAAAAAGTGCTCATAAGTCGCTTTTTTCAATGCCATTGTAACTTTGAACGGTTGCTAAATGAATGTTGTGAGTCGATGACGACCTGTATATTGGGCCAATATTTTCTACACTAGAAAATAGCTTTGCTCTGACAATCCTAATTAGGGCTAAAAACTGCAAAGTCTTGTGTGCGGAATTTTTTAAGCTTAACAATGTTGATTATAGGAACATGGGTTTGTTTGCAAAGTGAAAAAGATATTTTTCAGATCAGACTGGACAACTTTTTCTGACATTCGTGGGGGATGAAGAATCAGGATGTTGTTTGCCACTAACATCTCAACCCGACTTTCTCAGTGGCAGCCTGTGAGTTATTGTAGGTAGCGAAGCTTTTGTTTGTTTTTCCACTAGCTTCGGAAAACGTGATTCACATCATTATTGCAGGAATCTGCTTTCTCTCTTTTTGGCTTGCAAGAGCTCATCACAGCTGCTTGGCAAGCTCTAAGCTTTTTGAAACTTAAGCAAGAAGTGGGAAGTGGAACAATTTTTCATCCATTCCAAAGCATGCACTGGGAAAAAGTAAATAGAGAATCCTAGGCAGATGCCCCCCCCCCCCATTTTTCTTGGCTGGGAAAAATCAGTTTCTATCTATAATTGTACTAAAGGACAAGTGGCATGTTTTCCTAGTCAGCAGTTATTGTGATCAGTGTCACAATATGTATGGTATGTGTGTTTGGCAATATGAGATAATTTGTGAAAACAATTTTGCCTCCAACAGGTAAATTGAGATGGAGACCTGGAATGGATTGAGAAACTGCCTGTCGATAGCGGATAAGCCATACGAATTGGTCCTAATCTTCTTTAGATGTCTTTGTCACCATCTGAAACATTTGAAAGTCTTTGTCACCATCTGAAGCATTTGAAAGAAGAAGAAAAAAGGCACCATTCCTAAGGTAGATCTCAAAATATTTCTCAAATGAATTTTTCTGTGAGAATTGCATTGTTAAGTGGGTTTTGCCCTATTTTACGAACTTTCTTGCCACAGTGATTAAGAGAATCGCTACAGTTATTAAGTTAGTCACACGGTTGTTAAATGAATCCAGTTTCCCCATTGACTTTGCTTGTCAAAGGTCGCAAAAGTTGATCACATGACCCACCCACCCTCCCCAGACACTGCAACATCATAAATATGAGTCAGTTGCCAAACATCTGAATTTTGATCATGTGACCATGGGGATGCTGCAATGGTTGTAAGTGTGAAAGATGGTCATAAGACTTTTCCTTCAAAGTAACTTTGAACAGTCACTAAATGAACTGTTGTAAGTTGAGGTCTATCTGTATTTAAAATGTATAAATAGTGGATGTAATTATGAATCTGATAAGCCCTTTTTCAATTTTTTCATACTAAAATATGGACTGTGTTTGCAAGAAAAGGCTAATCAGGTCATTCCCTTCCATTCACACCCAATGGAAGTGTCATCCATCTACAACAGTGGTTTCCAACATGGGGTCCACACCCCACAGGGTGTTTGATTTTTAATGGGGGCAACTTGTTTAAACCAAGTTAATGGCCTTTTAGGCTTCCTCCGCATGAGTAGAGTTCACTTTTTGAGTAAAGTAAGAATTATATGTCACAGGAGGGGGGGCATCAGGATTTTAGAGATGCTTAGGTGGGTCATGGCCAAAAAAAAGTTGGGAACCACTGATCTACGATCACTTCCTTTTCCACTCTCCATTGGCTTCCCTAGCAAACTGAAATTATATCCAAATATCACCTGTTAGGACATCACAGTACTTCCATGTACTTTATGTACTTCCATCCCAACATCTGTTGCAAGCAGTTATAGAGTTTGTGTCATGTGGTATATTCAGTTCTTTTCTCCCATAGATGTCAGTTCCTGCAAAATCCCTCCCTTCCAATATTTGCCCCTTCCGAAAGATCCTGTCTTTCTAAAATGTGAACACAGTTAATAGAATAAATTTGTTTAACACATAGGCAAATATTTGCATGATATTTGACTTCCTGTTGAAGTCCTTTTCTCTTTGCTTGCTCCTTATGTTCATGTTTCAGGAGCTAGTACATTGCATTATATGGAATTAAAAAGCTCTTTTATTAAAACTCTCAGAGCTGGCTTCTTTCCAGAGAACAATGACATTATTAATCAAGCAGGATACCATGTTGGAATAAGATCACTATTTGAGTAGTGTGTTTGTTCTGCTGGGTGTTACCCATGCATAGAGTTGCTGAGTGTCTTAATTATAAATTTGTGGTGAACATTGCCTAAATTACTGGAGCCAAATAGCAGACAATGCAAAGAGTATTAAATAAATGTTCTCATGAACATTTGCCATTTGTTGTCTTCTCCAGATATAAGAACTCCACCTAGATTTCAATGGGAGTTGTCTGATACAATATACTCAAACAGGTTTCTTCTTGGCACAAAGTCTATTATTGTCTCTCATTTGGCACTTAACAATTCACAGAAATAAGAACATAATTGGTAAAGATGTGTTAAAGAATATATATACACATTGGGAACAATGCATAAATTAAAATGGATATTAGGGGCTTGTTGCACGGGCCAGAAAAATTGGCTGAGACCTGAATCCAGAGCTTTGGGAGTGATCGAAAATGTGGTCTGAAATTTTGATACTTGCCTTGAACTGGAGTGATATTTATTGTAAAAGAACCTACTTTGTTCCATTGTTTAGTATGAGAGTTGTACAACTGGTATGTTTTGTCATTTTTTTAAAAAGTAGAATTAAATGCAATTTGCAGAAAATTAAGTTTTATGTGAGGTTGAAGCTGACAGAATTTCATAGCAGCTCATAAAAGAGAGATTTGAGCTATTAATATATATATATATATATATATATAAATAGCTCAAATATCTCTCTTATGTGCTGCTATGTAATTCTGTCAGTTTCAACCTCACATAAAACTTAATTTT